TTTGTTTCCCTTGAAGTGCTTTGATGTCTGATGCAATAAGAAGAAGATAATATCATCGGGTCGGACTCATGTAGGTCCTTGAAAAAATATTATCGATCAATCATTCAAGGATTGAAGAGATGTTAACTTGCAAATTGAAATGAGAAATTAACACAAGTCATGTGAACGAAAGTGGACGAAATACGGTCCAAAATGTGACTGTGTGTCCCAATTCCATGTGATCAAGGAAAATGGTCATGTGTGGGGTTCCTGCTTTGGGAGCTTGCAAACAAAACCAACCTAACAGGTCATTTTAGAAAGTACCTGTTTAGATAAACCCACTAACAAGAATGATGATCTAGGAGGTGCATTAACGTGTATATTATTATTGTTTATCTCTAGATATGTTGATGAAAAATGATTGAAGCAGCTCTTATTTCCTTTTCCATTGTCCAACCAAAAGTTTTGAAGATGCTCCTTGCTTTGTCGGGTTTAGGAAAGACGTCTCTCCAAATTCCAATTTCCATGACCAAAAAATAAATTAAAAAGAAAAAGAAAAAGAAAAAGTAAAGGAAGACGTCCGTCTCTGTTTGGAAAAGGGTCTTCCTATTCTCAAGCACGGGTGTGGAATTTACAATATCATGGTTCATGAACCAAACACGCCCTTCTTGTTTGTGAACCCAGTTGTGTCCTGGTCTCAGTCTGAACCCAAGGAGGAAATTGGGCCTTGAAACACTGAGGAATGAGGATATATATTCATGTGATTTGGGATGGACGTACTTTATCCCAACTTCTTAAAAACTGCACATAGTTCTTCAATGTTTGAGCTTTGATGTTTCGCTCTCCCTCTTCAAGAAGCCATTTTTCACATCTAATAATGGACTAAACAAGAGATGGTATTTTTCATTTTTATAACTTTCCCCTGTTCGTCTTAAGCTTTGAACCTTGAAGTATAGGATTACCTGGAATCGAGCTTATACTTTCAAACTATAGACTCGAAGCTTCCATCCAATATGCTTGGACATTGCATGACCACTCAATCTGTAACTATACCTGATATTGTGGTTGCATTTGGTTTCCTACTTCTGAATAAAATTTTTCTTAGGAAGCTGCACATATTTTGAGCCAGCTAGGCTTGAAAAAAATTGTTTTCGGACATGAAATCCAATAAAGCAGTAGTTGACTATAACTGAATATAACTGACTATAAAAGAAAAAAATTACAAGGTTTTCGAGATGGCATTCTTCTTTCGGGTCGTTTGCCTGGAGTTGGATTTCCGGCAAAATATGGATGATTATAATGCAATATAATATGTTATGATTATTATTTTTTCATTTTGATCAATTATAATTGATTGTAGCACTTGGCTTTCAGGCCACTTTAAAAGTGCAGTCTCCTCTCCTAATGGATTCGAAGTTCAAATCCCACCCTTGTTACTTTGGTTAAAAAAAAAAAAATATATATAATTGATTGTAAGTTGTTATATCCTAAACTTAATTTTTGTGTAGAATTTCGAGTCCAAGTCGATTTTGATGTGGACTTCCCAAGTTCCACTCTTAATAGGAAAAGTAGAAACTCAACGCACTTGCATGTTCGGTATGTACTCACTAAAATGGGAACAAATGAAACAAAAGGAAAAAAAAAATGTTATGTAGGACTTGACAAAAAATGCAACAATCTGATTCTGGTGAAATTTCGATGAAGAAAAAGAAAATACGTGCAACATCTCCAAAATTAAAACTTCATTAGTAGTTTTGAAGTTCTGCATGATACACAGACAAATAAAACAACACGGAAGCTTCACAACGTTTTATTAAGAAATGAAAGTGAAACTATACTTCTACAAAGACGGTAGAGAAGCCACAAAATGACTAGCAAAGCTGTTACTTCCATGACGGTTTCTGAAAACCCTGTGCCATGTCCAATCATTACTTCCCTCCAAGAAAAATCATCTTTCCTCACGTGGTGCTTATAAGCGATAAAAGAATACTAATACTAGAACTGCATAGCTCCACTTCTCATTCAGCTCTTGACTGGCCAGCTCGAGAAGACAAGATAATACCAACAATAAGGCCATAAAGGGCCAGGGCTTCAGCAAAGATAAGGATAAGGATCATTCCAACGAAGAGTTTTGGCTGCTGTGCGTTGGCCCTGTAAATCAAAATCATTTAAAACAAATGTTTGGCATCAACCAATAAGAAAACACCAGTTCATAGGGAGGACACTTTCAAATTAGAGATACTAAGACAGACCAACTGGACATGACAGAATGAAGGGCACAGCATATTTGGTTCATGAAATCACCATCAATACATCATTCATTGAAGTAGGAATGTTTATTAAATGTCAATCATCATAATCTTATGATTAAAGTTGACACTCAGGCTGGGAAACTCTTCCTATCCAGCTCAGAATTATACTATAAAAGGAGACCAAGCTTATGTAAGCTCAACAGGAGGATGGGGATTCATCAACAATACAAGAAGGTTAAACATCATTCACATGTTAACAACACTGCACAATGACATGAATCAAATATGCAAGTAATAGAAATACTTGGAGAATATTCATCATACCTGACACCTGCATCACCAACAATACCAATGGCCATGCCAGCAGAAAGCCCGGCAAGTCCACAAGCAAGGCCTGATGAGAGATGTGCATAACCATCGAAAAGGTAATATGATTTGGCCTTGGGGTTAATGCCAGTACTGATAATAACAGCAATAATCAACCCATAAATACCCAATACACCAGCCATAACAACTGGAACAATTGACTTCATCACCAACTCAGGTCTCATAACACCCATTGATGCCACGCCAACACCACTCTTGGCAGTTCCATATGCAGCTCCCATACCTAATTTCCAAAATTCTCTTCAAATTAGACACAAAAGAGAGAGAGAAAAAAAAAAAAAAAGCTCCACGCTTAAAGGTCAAAATTTGCACATGAATATCTTGAGTTATCCAATTTTATTTGTATATAAGATATTGCATCTGATCTACAAACGCAAAACTAAACAAAAAACAAGATTTTTGATCTGGGTAATCTAGTTACCAGGAAATCAGCCAAATCAGAGTAAAGAATAAAATTTTCAGGTTCTCAAAGAATATATATTAGAATTACTGATATGATCAATAATCTAATGCAAGGTCCATGTAAACATCACTAAATTCAGATTGAATCAACATGAATTTAACATAGAATGAATGATCAATTTCAATTGGAACGCCAAACATCACTATAAATAAAAACCAATCACAAACTCAAAATTCAAATCTCTTTACTTTCATTACAAACCAAAATCATAATTAAAAAGCAACCGAATTCAGCCAGATCTAGGTCTCTATCAAAACATGAACTGGAAAACGGATTAGGTAGCGGAATGCTTACAGGAGAAGACAAGAGCAGCAGCTGCTCCCAGGAAGCCGAAGAAGGGGGCCGTTTCATCGCCGCTGAAAGTCGAAGACATTGTGGATCTTGTACGAGGACGTCCGGATCTCGGAGGAAAACTCAGGAGCTTGTGTAGAGAGAGGCTTCGATTTCTCTCTGGTTCTGTTCTGGTTCAAGAGGTAAAGAAACGGATGGAGATCGAACAGCTAATTTTATACTCCTACTCGGGTTCGGGTTCGGGTTCGGGTTCGGGTTCGGGTTCGGGTTCGGTTATCTGGTTGGGCTTTCGGTTTGTAAAGAGTCTAATTGATTGAGGCCCATAAGGTTTTACAATTGGTATAAGGCCCCCCAGTAAAGCGTTTGCGCGACGTCGTTTTGGTGTATCTTCCACCTTACATTACATTCTTGGTACTTCACTAAAACGACTCGGTCGAGGGTTGTCTGCGGTGCGGAGTGAAAACAGCGCGGGAGAAGACGCCATGAATGCTCCAGATCGTTACGAGAGATTCGTCGTCCCCGAAGGAACCAAAAAGTATCTTCACGCCTCAAATCTACGGTTCCGGCGTTGAATTTCTTCTTCTCAGACTCGATGCTAATCATCTATGGTGTTTTCGTTTTAGGGTTTCATACGAGAGGGACACGAAGATTATCAACGCCGCCTCCTTTACGATCGAGAGAGAAGACCACACCATCGGCAACATTCTTCGAATGTACTGATAGATTTTTTTTTTGTTTTCTAATTGGTTGATTGATTGAGCTCTAATTTGTTGTTCTATTGTTTCGATTTTTGAACTATGATAAACAATCAGGCAATTGCACCGTGACGAGAATGTGTTGTTTGCTGGCTACAAGCTCCCTCACCCTCTGCAGTACAAAATCATTGTTAGGGTTAGTATTTTCTCCCTCTTTCTGCTTTTTATTCTAGAATTTATGGTATGAGTTAGGATTTATGAGTTTAATGTTTTTTAATCTAACTCTTTTCATTCGGATATAGTGATTTCCTTGTTAAATTTATTCTGGGATCGGGCAGAAACACTTATTCAGGCATTGATAACGTATAGGGTAGTTAAATGTGAGACTGATTTGCCTGCTAGCATAGAAACCAGGTTATTGGGTTGAATGTAATGGAAATTTCTTCTTTTATAAGGTGAATGAGTTAAATATCCTAAAAAGCAGTTTTTTGGGTGCACTTGATATATAGAACCTTTATTTATTATGGGTATGGTGCATAACTTAATGGATGACGTTTTGTAGATCCACACAACTAGCCAGTCCTCACCAATGCAGGCGTATAATCAGGCCATCAATGACCTGGACAAGGAACTTGATCATTTGAAGAATGCGTTTGAGGTTTGTACTCTGTCATACTTAACTGAACTCGTTTAGTCAGCATTTATTCTCTTAGAGGCTTGCATGTACAGAGCACGCTTGGATGCAATGTTGAACTGGAAAGAAGTGTACTTTTGTGAATCATATATAGTTGAAAACCTATTTAAATCCTGGAATGGAATGTGTGTGTGCCATGCTCTCTTTTTTTGTTCAAAAAAGCATTTGAAGTCTATACGTAGTAATTAACATGGTTCTTGGCTTCTAACTTAAGTTACAGTGATTGCGTGTATTTCTGATTTGGCTTTAACACTAGAAGAATTCTATATTCTCGTCAAAATTTTACCAATGCTTGCTATCATGCCTTTTCAAATGCTGGTTGCACTACTCTAATTTTTCACTATTGTTTTGTAGACTGAAATGGCAAAGCATTCAGGGCAATTCTGATCCAGATTTGAGGTGCTGAACCTGAATGAACTGCTTTTGCATTTTGGTTTTGAATTGGAATCAACCATGTCTTCCTCGGCACTGTTTTGCTTTGTTAGTTATGAAGTATCTTAGCTATAACTTATGTACTTGAGTTTGTTGAATGTCTTATCATTAAACCTTTACCTATCAATGAAGTTATATGGATGTATTTATATGGATGTATTTGTAGGATGATGGGGGACTGTGGGGATTAGTGGAAATTGCCGTCCCTGATATTCAAATCCCCACACCCAGCATGTTTGTAATCAATAACAAAATGAATAGCTTCATTGACGTTATATATATAGAGGGAGAGTAGGGATTTATTTGCGTAAATTTTATATATTACATTTACATAAATTTTCATTTATTTATTTATTTTTTTTATTTTTAATGATTAAAATTTATTTATATTTATTAAATATATTTATCTTTTTTACTTAAAAAATCGTAGAAATTTTGTTTTCTTTATCGAAGATATATGTATATGGTTATGCATATTTCTTTATCAAAAATATGTTTTTAAAAGTAGATTATATAATAAAAGTACAATTCGGGTTATGGATGTATTAAAATACTTTTAATAGATTTTTTTTTTTAAAGTTAATTCATAAAAGGTATTTTAGTATTTTTACCACTTGAATTGCTCTTTTATTGGGCAGTCTAGCACAAAAAACATTAGCTCTCTACACTTATAAAAGAAAATGCCACAAGTCATTTCAGTCCAATTTGAAAAAGAGGGAAAGTAAAATGTAAGTTTTGGATTGTAAGTTGTAAACGAGTTGAGCTACTTGTAATTGTTCAGGAACCGAGCGTTATGCGCTTATGCTCCATCAGAAAGGTAAATAGCTATATTGGGCTTCCTTAGGTCCGTGAATGGGAGACGGTGCTGTTACTGTTATACAGCCCAAGTGCCCAACCAATAAAGCAGGCAAAGCCCATTGCCTACGAACCTTATCTTCTA